ACTGGAAAATGGGGGCTATACTAGTGCCTTGATTATTCGTGTTTCCGTTTTCCGTGGTTTTTGTTTTCCCCGAATTTTCTCAAAATAATTGTGCCTTTACAATTCTAGACAATAATTTACATGTTTTGGAGAAATTTTTGCTCAGAACTTAATTTTGGTTGCAAAAGTTCAGGTGTTGCATGATATCCGGGGTTTTCACATGCATTCAACAATAAGTCGGCTGGTTCAAGCATAGTCTTGTCTCTTATATTTTTAGCTGTTAAGACAGAAATACAAAATATTTGTAACTTGGTTAACTTTATTTGATTAATGAATAAAAACATTGTATACAAAAAAAAACACGAAATACACATTAGGATTTCTTAAAGATTTCACGCAACTTCAGTTGTCATACGCTGTTCTATGCTGCATGGTGGCATCCTTTAACCACAGATGCATGTTCAGATTGTGTTGGAGTGTCGTTTAGTTACCTATTGTCCTCTTCCCTACAGATAATTAGTATCTTCAGTCTGTTTTAACAGACTTTTTTGTAATAATTTCCAAGCATAGACTTGCACTAATGTTTTTACTTATTTTTCACAGTAGTTGATAGGTTAATCCACTTCCATGTTTATAGCAGAAAAAGTGTCAAAATTTAGGAGTTATTTATGCCTATGTTACAGATTGAATTCAATGAAAACAGGAACAGGCAATCAAAAAAGGAAGTGTTATAGGACTTATGTAACTCACGAAATTCGAAGAAATTGAGCGTGACTGACCCACACTTGACTTTTATGATTATGATTGTGACAACTTTTGTAATTTTTTTATAATAATATGATTAAACAACAGTAAAACGATTATAATTTAAAACAAGGAGAAATTTTATTTAAAACAATGGGCTAACTAGTGAGATCCACCTTGTTTTTTTTTTGCTTTCCCTGGACAAGCACAGATAATTGAGGCACCAGTGTATATTTATTTACTTCCACAGCAACTATTACATGCTAACAATCATATTATATCAAAAACCACTTGATAGTATTGCCTAAACTACCTTTGGTCCCATATGAGTCTAAACACACACACACTAATTGATTGAATTGAGAGAAAGAGAAACAAAATAGCACAAAATTGATAACATGTTGTACAACTTCAGCATTTCATTCCTGAAAAACATGAAGTACTGAATCCACCATTAAAATCCTAGAAAAAAGTTCGATTTAGGACTCAAAGAATGTGAAAATAGTTCCAGACTTCCAAGAACCCAGAACTGTTCTAGATTTGAGTTCAATTTTGCACAGCCCTATGCATGAACAAAATGGGAGAAAATATTAAGTACCACAATAAAATGTTTAGTTGTCATGGCAAACTGGCACCCAAAATTTGTCAAGGCCTGGTTTTTATAATGTATATATATTTATATTTCACCAAACATTTTGTATTACAGCTGATTGTCTGAAACCTTGACCTAGTATAATGACTTAGCCCTAATTAAATCAAGCTAAATCTTATGAGGTTATGGCTGAAGTCTCCCTTAAGAGTCAAGATATCTAACTATGTGAATTTTATCCCAACAGATTTCTACTAGTAAGCTGTTATATAATGAACCAATTTGTTCTTAATTGAGTTGTAATTTATGAATGTGTGTATTAATATTAGTGTTTGTTTGAGCTGGATCATGTAAGTGCAGAAGTCATTAACTAAGAAGCAATCATTAAAGAGAATGGGATGGAATTATACAGCTACAAACTTGCTATGTAGTATTCATTTGTAACACTTCTAAATGCCATTGTTAATAAATGCTCAAAAGAAACTAAGCAAAAAAAACATAAGCAGTTAAGTACATTATTATTAGAATATAATTATACAAACATACATACATACAAATTTAGTGGTCATCGACTAGCCTGAGGCTAGTAAATTTACCACCAGTCTAGTAAATTAAGCAATTTGAGGAGTTTGATTGGCTAATAAAAATTTCAGTAGACTACAGTCTGGAAATCACCACTATATATTGGTGTTGTTACTTTTCTTTGTGTATCTCAGCATTGAAATTTCATAAAATATAATTCTAAGCAACTACAAAAACTTTGATGTCACTCTTTTCAACTATTAAAATCTTCCGATTGGCTATTTATCCTGCCTTCTATCAAACTTAGCTACCACCTTTAGCCTATTGACTTCATTAGGTTAAACTTTAGTAAAAAATTTAAACATATTTGAAAACATGAGTGACTGCTTTATATTTTAAACAAATTATTCTCCATCTTTCAAACTCTTGTTGTGATAGGTTTAATGTAATTTTTATGTACAAAGTCATCGGGTAAAAAAATCACACATATCTGGAATGACAAATAAAGCACATATGAACTGTGGGTGTGTAGACAATATAAACTATGAAAGCATAATAGCTATTCTTTCCAGGGCAATGTGTTTGATGAAGTAATTCAGTCCCTACCACAATTTTATTTTGTTAAAATTAAAGTACTTAAAAACCAATTACAATTTTGCAATAATAGCTATGTGTTTGTAACAGGCTAGTAGAAGTCCCATAAGGTTAGTAGGTCTTGATTCTATTAGCCCAGCTTACTACCACAAAATGAATGTTAAATTCAAGTTAAAAAATTCAAAAGTTTAGAAAAAACTACTTTTACACTCTAGATGAATATTTATATAAATTTCTGTTTTTATTTTAATCAATGTTTTGCCTTTGCGGCTTCTTCAGGGTTAATGTGTAAATCCCTCCAGCATGCACTACAAATTTTGAAAACAACAAATAATTACCGGCAATCGACCGTATACATAATTACACACACAAATAAATGCACATATTTTTCAGAAAAGCAGAGATGTTAACAGCACTATGCATTAGTAATAACATTATGAGTGGATGTAGCATCTGTGCAAAGATGTGGATACAGTAATGTAAATATACAACAGAACAACACAGCAATGCACTTGAACTGGATGGGAAGTAGTGTTTAACATCAAGCACAGAAGAATTCAATGTCTGGATAAATACCAATTTCAGGTGCTCTAAAAAAGGGACCATTTTGTCTACCTCCCATCTTGCTAAAATAACATCTGCAGCAAAAACTACATGCATTCTGATATACACATATAATGTCTTCTAATCCCAGATATATAACTAGATTGAAATATTATGACACAATTAACATATGAGTATGGTAACAATAATTCCTCTTCCATGATTTCCACTAATGTTCCAATAGCTAGCTGTTTTCATATTATAGCCTGGAGTATACAAGCTGATTGTTTAAGTTTTAGTTGCATCTGTGGGATCAAAGGATGTGTAGTGAAAAAAAAACATTCTTTTGTTCTGTAGACTACAAAACTTTCAGTGTTTTACAGTAGAGCAAACTAAGTAGCAAGTTAAGGCATTAAACCACAGTGACCAAGAGTCAATGATCACTTCCTAGAAACACATAAAAGGTACGACTATAAAAAACTCTAATACCACCCTCACCTTGTACATATACACTTATCTTAAATTTCATAAAATGTTTCATTCATGAAGTATTTCCCAGTATATTTTACCTTAAAACCTTTGTTACATGTAATGTGCCGAAGTTCATCTTACTTTTAATTATCTTAAACCAAGAAATACATGTGTATAGGCAGTCCCAATGGTACATCTATTGTTGGAAACAAGATTTAATAACATCAAGCCATACATGTACATTATTATAAATTAACACATTCTTTATCTTCTTAGAAATTTCACACTGTTTGTATTTGTAAATAAAGAAATATAACTTTTTTTTTTCACTGAATTATTTGTTTTTCAACAATAAACAGCAATAGTGATGAGCACTTAAAAACTGCAACAAACTAGCCTTGGGAAATATTTTGTCTCATCCATCCATTCTTACTAGTTAGTCTTTTTTTTTACTTAATTAAAAAGAATCACCTTATCTTTTACATCTACTTTTTAAAATGTGTCACTTGTTATATGAAACAATTTCTGATAATCCTATAAATGTAAATATATTTTTGAGAAGTTGGATACAATCACTTACACTGTAATTCATAATGACTTAAATTTTAACTGCATACTAAAAGATTAAGGCTTTAAAAGTGCATACAAGTATGAAGTCAGAATAACTATCATCCATGGAAGGATTTTTGTCATTGCCATAATTGGTGTAAATGTACAGGTGGAGATGATAAAGGGTTAATAGTAGCTTATACAAGTAGAACTATTAAAAATTATTGAACTATTATCAAGGCTGAATAATGGATAATGGATGCAGAACGCATTCGAAATGCGTCGGCCAACTCATCACTAGCTACAACTTTTACCCGTTGTTCTAACAACGTTAAGACGGCTTATCGACTTCTTGAGAAGAATTCTAAGAAGAAAGTAAACCTACAGACATCGGTCTTGTTTAACAAAACCTGTATATACACACACACACACACACACATATATATGAAAACTCAAATTTTTTTCTTTTACCAAATTCTTCTTTATTTTAATGGTTTTACAGCATCACAGGCTACTTTTCAGTATAAAAGTAATATATTTAGGTCTAAAATTGATATGAAATATATAAATTTTGTTTTTTCAATCATGATTTTCATCTTATATTTTAAATTTTATTCAAAAATAAGTTATCTTATTACTAGCTTTTCAATCAAAACCTAATTAAAAAGTCTTTAAACTAACATCAACATTAAAATATGTTAAACATTCATAAAATTACTATCGTACATTACCCAAGTTCTACAGACTATAGATATTTTTGAAAAATACTTTTTTAATTTTGTTGAATAACCTTAGAGTTTCTTTGGAAATTATCCACAGTATACTTAAGGTCCATGTAAAATATTTCTTAAAACTTCTGAATCCTTATTTATTAAACATCTTGCCTCCTAATAGCTTTCAATTAAAATTTAAAGAATCATTAAAAAGGTCAACAAAGTATTTTTCAAATATTAATTTTATTTTCATTACAATTCCAAAGGGTAAAAACTTTAAAAAAAAAGGTTCATTCAATATATTAAATAAATTAGTATTACAGAAATAAAAATATTTACTTGCTGAGAAGGGACAATTTACCAGATTTCTAACATGATATCTATATAAATTAACTGTAATCTCAGATGAATAGTTTCTCCACAATATAGAACATTTCAAAACATAAATTACATTTTTAGCATTAGAGTCAAAAAGAGCCTTTCAGTTTAATAATTCCTGCCTTCTTGATCCAACAACTAAATTTCCTAGTTTAATCCTTTCATTACGGGCTGGATAGAATCCACCCAGCTTGTAACCACAAAAGTATCCACGAGAGTAATTATACTATGATTTTTGATAATGTAAGCATATCTTTACAAAATTTTGCAGGTTATTGGTAAACATTACAAGGCTTTCGTATACAAAGTATCAGGTTTTTAAATTAAGAATTACGATTTTTTAGTTAAAGATATTCTCGTAAAATTTTGTTTTCAGAATGTTGATTACCCAACATGCAAAGTAATTTTTATTTTAAGATTAAAAATATTTTTATGATTAGAACATTTTAAAATTTCACATGAAAAATCTTTATAATCTCCAGATAATTATAATTTTTTTTTTAAATTTTATCTGTTATTTTCACTACCATAACTCATTATGGGGTTAGTCAATTTGACCGACCTCGTAACCACCATAAAAAATTAGTAAATAAATATAAATTATGCTTTTTTGTCTGGAATGTCTACAAATTATAACATGAAAACACAAATGTTTAGTCTGATAGCTTAAATTTCATAACATTATACACTTATATATATATATATATTATTTCTTTTATATTGACTTTTCAGCCATGCCTGGCTAACATTATTCAAGTTGCAATGATGCATTTCGTTTACTCTCATGTTACTGTATTCAACAATATAAAACTGGCCTTTACAAAGTGACTTGTCTTGGCTGTGTTTTAGTGGACTAGTATTTTGTAAAATACAGTCAATTTCAGTTTTAATACATCATATATGTATATACATTATTACTATTTAAAATAAGTTTTTAAATTTTAGTTATTTTTCTTAAAACACAGAACAGTAAATAAAGAATTACAGAAATTAATTATCTCTTCTAGTTACGAACTTTGAACTCATTTACTGCTTGCTGTAGATTGCTAAGCCTTATAAAATTTCACACATTGAGGATGTGAAACGAAATAATTTTTTTAAAGTTTTATATATATATACATTTTGACATAACCAAAAATCATAAATTACTACATCAATACCATAGAATTCCACTATAATTTATCAAGCTTAGTATTTAAGCTGTATTTGGGTCTTAAAAATATGAAATTTCGAGCTGACTAAAGACTTACCTTACCAGCTTGAAATCTTGTACCAAAAGAACAAGACTGATAACCTAATACTAGTGAGATAGCCACTAGGGAGACATTCTGAGCTTTTGATTGGACATTCACATATCATAAACAGATGTAGATGTGCATAAAGAAATGTTTTCAAAAATGGAGAGAGATGGGTGAAGTTGCTGTGTTTGTTTCAGCAAATGTAGCGATATCTCAGCAACAGAAGAGATAGGAGGTTCTTAATCTAGATTCTAGCTTGTCAATATCAGTAATTTGAGTTCCTAATTTGTAAAAAACTATAGACTTTGTATTTGGACATCACAAACATCTAATTTGAACTGATGCTGCATTCAACATACCATCCAACACACAAAAATTGATATTTAGGGTGTTTTTTAATATTTACTTTAAAATTAAGAAATTAACTAATGGATCATACTAAAATTTGAATTATAGTCTACAATTTGATACCAAACTTATTGACATACATTCATAAAATAATAGTTCAATAAAATTTTGAATGTGAGTCTTCAAATGCAATGACCATAGGAAGACTCGCAGAGACTGGGTTAAGATATCTATTTATACATATTAAACAATTTTTTCTATTACATGATACCATACTTTTTTTATTCTTCATTTTAGAGTTTTTAAAAGTTAATAATTTAAAAAAAGTTGGAGGTTGCTGCTTTGTGTAAATTATTTTACAATTTTCACAAACATTGTAGTGGTAAAATGTGTGTTTGTGCAATTTTGAGTCCCATTTTCTTGTCTTATCATACTATCACTCATGTATATCTTCCATGGCAATCTATTCAGAGTACTAACAGTCACAAACACCTGAATCAAGTTCCATTGAAGCAGTTTCCAAGAGACTCAGAAGAAATATGGGTTGACTGTATGGAAAACACTCATGTAAGATTTACATACTAACACTGTATACAAAAGATAGAATTTCCAACTTACCCAAAGCTCTGAGGAAGCATTAGTAAATTTCCTAGACTAAAGTTTTCTAATCCTTTAGGTGTTCCAAGATCAGCACAAATTTCTTCATTAAAAAGGTTTCCAGGTAAGTCATGCGAGTCATTTGTAACTGGTAAGGTTGCATATAATGAAGGCCTAGTAAGCCTCATCACTGAAATATTCCAATATTTCATTATTACTTTTCTGTGTGCAGTGTTTTACATAAAACGTTTCAACTTACAGTATTTATATCATCCAAAATATTACAGTACTTTCAGTAACTTACAGACTAGTATTGTAAACAAGAAGTATATTTTAAAACTGTGAAGTCTAATCAATTACATGTTTGACATGTACTAACTTCACAGAATCAGTCAAATAGCTTGAAATGAACCAAACAACGGACAGTTTTGTTGACTTTGTCACTGTTAGATTATACAATACAGTATCAAAAAATTAAATTGTCTGGGCTCAAAATTAATGCTATCTAACTAGCAAATTGCAGTTTCGCTGGTGAAACTTAGAAGGCACTATACAAAATGATGTTAGTACACATTTCAGAAGGAAGATTCCCAGATTCTTACTCTCGAGTATCAATACACCCATGATACATGCAATCAGTAATTTATACACATGATTCTTGCACAAAAAGTCACTATAATTAGGATTAAGAAGATTGTTTCATTTGCTGGTGCTGCACAAGCTCAGGATAAGTATCAGGAAATGGGGATAACAAGACCACAGCTTCAACTCATCTGATTGGTTGCCATGTCAATTAGAACATAGACAGCCTACTAGACTCACAATATCCGCACCTGTTTTTTTCACATTCTTTTTCATTTGTCCATGACTAACACAAATATTAGGCCTATCAACATTTAGGCTGCAACTTTTAATAATAAAATACTTTCTTTTATATTATAGGGTGGCCATCAGCAGGGGTTCTGTAGATCCAGGTAGTCATAGTCTAGATACATCAATTCCTGCCCATGTCAAGGGTCTTTTAACTTTTGTGAAATAGTTAAAACAGAAACACTTTTACATGTGATTAAAATGAGTCCTAATAAAGTCATATTCAGAAATATTTGAAAGAAACAAGACACAGAAGATTTATGCATATAAATAAAAGACATACATATTTATTAAAATTTATTAATATATGAAATAATTAATTATGGCACAGTTACATTTAATTTTCAAGAAGAATTTGCCAGTGGGAAAAAATATATATAGCAACAATTTGTTTGTGCTTTCAAAAGTTAAAAGTTGAGCCTGATTGCTTGACTAAGACTTCTTGTAATTTATGGAGTAAATATGCCTAGATATATAAGCCATATGACTATAATATATTAATAAATAACTATAAATGTAGAAGAAATTCTGTTGTGCATAATACAACAAGGAAGTGCATTGTGGTTTTACAAATTAACATGGGTCAATAACCTAATAAGATATTATGATTTCTGCTATTATTTCTAATAATAAATAATCAATCATCTTTATAAGCCTGACTCTTCCTCTTAGTGCTTCCCGTCTCACTCCAGTACTGGCAGAGAAGTAGTGTTATTAGTAGTAGTAATAGTAATACTATATTGTTTGTGTTACTGAGGGTACTACTACTACTACTACTACTGGTGTTATGGTTAGGCTAAAACTTGTTAAAATTAAGTCTCATTTTTATTTAAGGCCTACAATTTACAAAGGGCTGACCTTTTGGCAGTAAAATGTAATATCCTCAAAGTTTAGAAAAATATTAATCCCTATTTTACAGCTTCTATTACAAATAAACACTGAAATTATTAGAGATAAAATACCTTTCAAAGCGAGTAAATGATCGTCCATCTCTTAGATAATTACCGCTACGCCTCTGTCCTAGGTGATTATATTGTTTATTCATAAAATATTTTTTTCGTTATCAGAGTTACCTATAAATTGAAACTATATCGATGTAAAATGTTATTTTTTTGTTAGTTGTTATGCACAATGGGCTATTTGTGCTGTGCTTGCCATAGGGATCAAACCCCAATTTTAGCGGTCAAATCCTTCGATTTACCCCTGAGCCACAAGCGAGAGGATCTCAGAGAAAAAATTGTAATTCATTAATCAATATTACATGACGAAAAGCTTGTAAACAGAACTGGATTAACACATAAGGCACATGAGGCGATGGCCTAGGGTCCCGCGCTTTTATGACTATATATTATTATAAAATATAGTAACAGTGAAGAAGTTGTCAAATTAGAATAATTTTATTGGTAAAACGAAAACAACGTTTTGGGCAACAGCCCTTCATTGGGTTCCCGTACCATTGTTTGCGTGTTTACCAATAACATTTTTATAATTTGGGGAGTTTTTCACCATTAGTATATTTTCTATTTTGTAATTTCCTCACCGATGCAAATCTTTTATTATATATTAATCGATTAAATTGATTTAAATATTTCGAACCATTGAAAAAAAATCACTTAGTAAGAAATTAACTATTTTTTACATCATGATGAAATGTATGATGTACATTCGGTAGGAGATCAAATGAAGTTAACAATTTCATCATAGTAGCGTGTGCATATCATGAATTTCACACCATACATCACTGTACCTATAAAATCTCTTTCTGTAGCGACCGTTTTGTGAATATAAAAAATATACTGAATATGCACGATTTAATTAATATTGTTACGTCTCCGTTTGTTAATTAACTTTCCGTAACTTTGTTCCAACGAAACTTTAACGACACAAGTCTTTACTTAATAAAATTGGTTTATTCTTTCCGAATATAACTCTGCGATACACTTAATCTCAATACTCGCGCTAAAACAACACTGTAACGAACGAACGTTAACTTCGACAATACACTGTGACTGCAGTTCAATTACTCACTCTCTACACACATTACCTTCCCTTCTTTTATATACCAGCGTACCCTATTTCTAGTAAGAACTTGAACATTCGCCAAAGTACATGATAGTTCTAGAAACGTTGCGTCACGGTGGTCATGTGACTCGCTGACGCAACAATATTGTTACGTCTCTGGTCGTTTGTTAATTTCCCGTAAAAATACTTTCCGAAAAACTTCAGCGATACAAGTCCTTTCTCAAATAAAACTAGTTGATTCTTTCTTAATACAACTTTACAATACACAGAATTTTCACCGTCATTTTAAACACACATTATAATTCACAACGATTCACGCACTTTACTTACGGTCACTACCGCTCACTTGAATCAATTATTTGTCTATCTGCAATTCTCTATGCCGTCACTCCTTCTCTCCGCTTTATTTGCCGGGCTTATATATTAAAATAGAGGGCGCCTAGAAAACGCTGGGTCTTCATGATCCTTTCAGAACCTCATGACGTGTTACCAGGGTCATGTGACTTCCGCTGTCGTAACACTGCCCCTTCTTTAGTATTGTTCGTCCCGAACAATAACACT